CAGAGGGTAAACAGCTGGGTATATTCTTTGAGTTGTTACCACATTTTCAGGGTAATAAAAGTCTTGGCCATGATGCTAAAGTTTTTCCAAGATGTAAAAGACAATCCACAAAGAATCAGCTCTGCACTGGTTATTCCAGTCTTCTATGGCAGTCAAAGCTTTGGTTTGCTTTTTGATTGAGTAGTTGATTGCAGATTATAAGAAAAGTTCTTTGATCTTCCACTGTTCTCAAGGAGATGTATGTACTGCAAGTTGCTCACTGTTAGAAACAAAAACCAGTCAGACACTCAGGTTATTACTTTTAATACTGAAGAAAAACGTTCTTCAGTGGTAAGGGTAGAGATTTAGGTTTGAGCTGTTCCTGGATCTGAATGAGGAGAGGGGCCAGTTTGCTCTAGAGGTAGGATGATTTACTAGCTTTATGTTTCTACTCAATTTCCTGAGAGGGGCTGTGGCTTCAGGGAAGAACCTGGATTGGGAAGAGGTAGGTGATTGAGGAGCTGGGACTGGAACCTGTGTCTTCAGTCTCCCTGAAATAACTAATACCTTTCTCTGCATGTCTCATATAACACATAACACATGCACAATAAATACTGTACTTCCCCTTGTGCTACATACTTTATCCCAGAAAGTTCCTATATTGGAGAATTATTCAGATCCTGAAGAGTAACAGACTGGTGACAAATGAAATGGATTTGGGGGGCATTTTTATGACTGAAATAAATTTATAGGATGCCATGGCCAGAAAACGTCAGTGATACACTGATAAATGGGGATACTGAGGTCTTAAGTGTCTATGAGACTGTGCTGAAGCCATATTGCTGTATTTTCTCCTAACCTGTGGACTTAACATGAAATTGGTAGTTTTAAAAAGTAAATAGTTGGTGGGGGATATATAGCTCAGCGGCCTAAGTGCCTGGACATGTTTTTTGGCTGTTTTACGTGGGACTGAACCTATGCTAAGCAAATGCTTTTCCACTAGGCTGTATCCCCTGCCCCTGCTAAAATATTTGAGGTAATGTCTTGGCCATGTTTCCAGGAGGGCTTTGAACTTGTGCTTCTCCTGCCTTAGCCTCTTGAATAGCTAAGATTATACTTGTATCCCTCCACTGTATCTCGAAATAGCTACAGATCCTTGTGCATGTGATAAGAATATTTTGGATTGGTGGGTGTGAACCATTATTCGTACTCAAGCTGTAGTTAATTCCATTCATGAAAATGGAATTTTAAAGTCTTAATTTTTAAGGAGGTGAGCCCACGACGTGTGTATCTGTGTCTGTCAATAAAAGGCTATATTCCTATTTGAGAATAGGTTAAGGTCAGGTGTGGCAGATTATCTGTCTTAGGGACACTTCTCTGATAGTTCTATCTGACCTGTTTTGGAGATGTTCTTCAATTCACCAAGGTATAAAGGAGGTCTTTACATAAACCTGTGCAGCCTGGATTCCTTTGAAAATTTCAAACTTCCCCAGCCACCACTCCTTGATCAACCCGTCTGTTACATGAGTTGCTCAGCTCATTAAAGATTTGGCAGTAATTGCTCTGTCCCTCACATTCAAGTTTTCCCCTCATCAAAAACTAAATGAATGTTAAAGTTCATGCTGACAGCCCTTGTTCACCTTGCCAGCTGCACTCTGTCCCTGCAGGATAACTGTGGAATAGGGAGGGAGCGGGCAGCATGTTGCCATAGCCACCCGTGAGCTACACTGGACCTGGCATTAGCAGCTGACAGCACTGAACTTATCACCCACTTCTAATGCCAGTATGAAGGAAGGAGCCCTATGTAAAAGTTCACTTCTGAGTGAGTCACTGTGTACTCTGAGCCTGAGGGGAATGTGCTACCCATGTTCTGTTCATGGTGCTCTTGCCGTCTTTGACAAGAAAATAGATACCTTCTGTGGTGCCAGAATGGGACAAGGGTTCCCACTGTGTTCTTTGAAGAAAATACTCTCATTTCTTTATGTGTGTAAGTATGTAAAAGTATTCAATGTTAGCTATCATTTATTCCTACCAGAGGCAATATTAGTTTCTAGTGGTGGAAAATAATTTGCGTCTTATGTAGACAGGCATGACAATAATAATGTTATGAAAGGAGGATAGAAACATGCATATGTGACCATTTGAAAACCCTGACCATCTCTGTCCTAAGGTCTTGCAATCTAGCAATGAATCGAGACCAGAAAATCCTTTCTATGTTCTCTCTTTCACTTGTTTGGCCAGACAGTGGCTGCCTTACCTGAATTGAGATGTAGCACAGG